AAGTTCATTGAGTGAAATGGCCAAAGAGCAAACAAAAGCGTTATAAGCTATTGATTGCATATTAATTTAGTATGTATTGTTTTATGCATTTTGACAGTATGGCTACCCAGTCAAGTAAGTAAAGTGCCTGAAATAAACTACCATAAAAGCCCTCATAAATGAAAGAACTAAATATTTAACTTCACACATAAACATAGAGTGACAACAAGGTACATATGTCAGCTTATTGCTTGCAACTCATTCAAATACTGGCAGAGTGTGAAGTGACTAAGAGCATTAGTTCCATACCAGAATGCAACTTTCCAATAATAATGAGTTTCGTTGTCATGTAGTGTAAAAAAAAATTAAACCATCGATCAATAAAAAAATAACCACTGGCATGAATTTTAAGATAGTTATTTTAAAAGTCAATAAACTAAACACACATGACCATCTGTGATTAATTGCCATTGTAAAAAATCATTGCATACTCAACGCATTTCAATTAAATTCTAATAACAAATGTTACAATGATAATCTTGTACAGAGAATTAGATATTATTTCACCAATGTGCCAATCCCGTAATGCCAACTCCGCTCACTTAACAGTCAAACAACATTAGACCTTTTCAATTTCACACAGCGTATCAATTCACGTGCTTCTCGTCAACAAACAACGATTTAGAACACGAATAAACCCTTATTGTTCATCTAGATAGCAACGAATTCCCCTCCATAAACACTCACATAAATATCATTCAGCGCGTATCTTCTTCGGAGATTGTACAACACCCCCGGTTCATTCAAGTAAGCCAACATCGTCATATCTTCGACTCCTCCGTGCTCGTCTTCATCCGCATCCCTGGGAAACACGTTCTCCAGAAGAGCTAGAACCTGCAAGCACACACCTCACAGATTCAACATCCGAATCGTCCACAACAATTGGAAAACGAAAGCAGCGCAGATTATGCAGAAACATAAGGGTCACCTTGTTGCCAGAAGCGGTGGCAACGCGGACTTGCTTCCTCGAATATTCGAGAACTTGAGCAGGGAGCCAAGCGGAATCCGTGTCGTGGACCCAAACCTTGGTGCCCTGGCGCAGATGCATGGTTGGTTCCTGCAAAGGGGAAAATGAAGGAAGAAGATGAATCCGAAGGTGAAATGAAACCCTAGAGAGAGAGAGAGAGAGAGAAGGAGGAAAGAGTGAGAGTTACGGGCATGAGAAAAGAAATGAGATTGAGGTGGTTCTCATCAATTTGGGGTTCCCGCCCTATCGGGTGTGGACTAATGAGTCAAAAATGGTGAAACAGTACAGTATTTATACCGTATTCGACACGTCACCACCGTACCCACTGTCTGTGAACTGTGATTCTGATTCTGGTTTTCTTTCACTTTTCACTCCCGCTTTCGCTTTACCGTATTCCCTTCCTTCTTTTTTGGATATACTTTCCCAATTGCCACGCACGGACCAAATTACTTTTTTATAATTCTTTTCTCCAAATACCCTACTACATAATAAAATACATGTGTAATAATAATAATAATAATAACTTTTTCATTAAATTTGCTGCATACAAATTTTTAAATTATATATAATAAAATAATCAAATGTATAATATTTTTGTTATACAATAAATTATAAAATACTCATATAATAAATATCATATAATTTATTTAAATTTAACATTAAAAATAAAATAAATTAGACAAATCAGTGCATCAATCTACCATTTGATACAACACACGGAGGAGTTAAACAACACATGTCCAACGAACGGGATAAGATACCCAATCTGACTACTTTTGGCGGAACAGGACTCATTTTATCGTTTCTACAAAATTCATAAGTTTAAAATGCAATTATGAATTTAAGACGAATAACGTAAATTTAATGGAGAGTAACAGTTATAAACTTTTTTATAAAATAAATAAAAACATGTCAAGAAGAATATATTAATTCAAGCATGAAATCACCTATCTCACGTTTTCGAATTTTAGAAGTAACAGTAAAAATCATGTCTTTGCTTGAATGAGAGAAAATGTTGATTATCTAAGTGCATGTTTGGATTGAATTTTGAAACTTGATTTTACACTCTCTTTCCATGTTAAAGATGAATTTTACGTGGAAGCAAAATTTTTTTGCTTCAACTAAACGTGAAAATTCACGTTTGTGTTGAAACCCAAACATGCACTAAATCTCACATTGATTTTAATAAAAAGCATAAATGTACATTTAATAAAACCTTATTTCCTTTTTCTTTATTTTTTATTATATTTTTCTTGTATGCATAAAAAATATCATATTTCTCTTATGTCAAGCATTTACAAAACTTTCTCCTTTTTCACTCGTTCCTTTCAACTGAAATTAGTTATTTCATTTTTCTTCTTCACACCAAACAAAATACACTGATATCATTATTTCATATTTTTAATTGCTAATGAATATCAAAAATCTCATTTTATAAAACAAAATATAGAATTTTTCATTTAAGGCAATATATATACTTTATCCAAACATTTATTAGTGAATATGGATTAATTATTATGTAATTGTTTAACTTTACAAGTGATTTTAAATTTAAATATCAAATATATAATTATATTGAATATTTTAAAAATAATAATTTTAAGGCACGTACCAAATCTTATTCCATTTTTTTTTTTTTTTGCAAAACCTCATTCCAATTGTTATTTAATGTGAAAAGATATATGTGTAGCCTCGTTCTATAAAAAATTATTTTGTGCAATAATGTTTGAATTAAGTTTTACAGATTTTGAATTTGAACTCTTTCAAGGTTTAGTAAATCAACTTCTCTTGTTGGGTGGAAAGGGATTGAGGTAGTTAGAAGTATGAAGACTTAGGTTTAATCCTTATTGCGACCATCTTTGTAATTTTTTTTATTTTTTAAAAAAAAAATTACAATAAGCAACAAAATTCAAATTTAAAAATTTATATATCCTACTTTAATTTCTCACCATTAATTTGTGTCTAATAATTTTAACGGTAATTAGTATTTAGATTAGAATTTAAGTATCTCATGCAAATTATTAAAACACTCAGCAATTAGACTTAATATGCTTTATATTAAAAAAAACAACTAATTTATTAGGACCGACTTAACGGTAGAGTGGGATAAGAATTTAAATTTGTTTTTTTACTATAATTATAATTTTTTATTGATAAAATATATATTAATTTATCTTTGAAGAACAACAATATTTATATTTATTGTTATTAATATGTTCTAACAGTATATTTTAATATATAAAAAATTAATATTTTTTCATGGGTAAGCCTCCTATATTTATAGATACATACAGGATCCCTGCCGTACACTCAAGGTTTTCTTTTAATTATTTAACAGTAAAACCAAACAAAACAATTATCAATCGTACAACGTATAAGGGAAGCAAAGGATAGTTTTTCTTCCTTCAGTTTTGTTTCTCCTTTTCTTTACGTTTCATCGCTTTTCATTTTAATTTTCACCTTTTACTCAACTTGTTAGTTTGGTAAGAGATTAAATCACAGGAACATTTCCTGTCAAAAAAATATATATATCACAACACTTTTCAGTATAATTTTACTAATAACAGTCATGCACTATATCATAAATATCTTACCCAAATTTAGTCATAAAACTAACCTCTATCCAATATCAATTGATACTCTTTGTATATAAAATACAGATGTTGTTAGAGTTTATTTACCAACTTATTTTAGAAGTTTTTAAACTAATTTAATTTTTTTATAAAATTATATATCTTATATTAAAGATAATTTGATTATGTTTCCGCCGTAAAATTTTATTTAATAATTGCTTTGTGAGACTCATATATGAGGTAGAAGTATTGTCCATTCTATCATTAGCCTTCGCATTTTTTTCATTTGAAAGATGTCTTCAGTTAAGGGAGAAAAAAAAGGTTTATAACTTTAATTTTTAAGTTATTTTTAAGTAAGATGAAATAATTATTCTCCTCTCTCAATCAAGGATCCACACATGGTCTATGACCATATCTAACATTATTATTTCAATCTTAAGTTTGTTCGTTGTGATGCTAAATTTGTATATGATATCTGCATCAACTCTGTAAACTTTCGAAGTTTTTGTTTTTGACTTATTTTTAAACAGCGTGAGACATTTTAGTTTGATGAATATTATTTTTGAAAATTTCCAGGGTTTACAGACATTGATTAAAATTGAGATCAAAGTATTTTAAAAGTATTTTTTTTTTCTTCTCTTAATCTACCAAGACATTTTTTTAAGATAAAGCCACGAAGGTTCCATTAAAAAAAAAAACTAAATCAGACAATACCTTCTACAATAAACTTAACAATATAAAAAACTCAAATGTCAAAATATAGTATACCACATTTATTGTTAACGTATTATTACGCAAGTATAGTATTATAATTGTATAAACCTTTAAATATAACTGTTGCATGACTTTTTCAATTAAAAATTATTTTAATACATAAGACAGAATATATATATATATATACACACATACCACTTTACGTCTATCAATTAGTTTATTAGTTAAACTTTTTATACACTTTTCATAAGTTTATAATTTATAAGTGTTTACTTTTACAACTCATAATTTTTAACTTAAAAACACCTTTCAGTTAATATAATATAATTGTTAGGTACATAAGATTGGTTGAATTATCACAACCATGTAGAGCCATCTAAAGTTCTAAACCATGTTAGAAAACCTTGATCAATGACTTGCATGGAAATGCCCTTAGCACGTGACATAATTGTCCAACTATCAAGCGAACAGAAAAATATAAATCGTAGTTTCCCGTCACCTTTGGTACGTACGTATTAAAAATTAAAAAACTTAAATAACTTGCAACGTATACGAACTAAAAACCATGTGTCTTAAAAGTATTAATAACAAAATTAGTTACATCGCTTACCGAATAATAAAAAAGATACCTTAAGAAAAAGTAACATACTTTATGTTAACTTCAATTTAAAACAATAGAAATGATATAATATTTAGTCATTTTTCATTATCCCGCTGAACTGATATTTTACTGGTCTTCTGTTCTTTGTCCATTCTTTTCAAATTGCTTCTATGGTTTATTCTAACCGAACAATAAACCGGTTTCCAATCGTTCTTGCGAATCTAATTTTGAGAATACATGTTCAATTGCTACAAAAAGGACCTCTAAATAAACGTACAATTAATGTAGTGTAAATAAATACTACGCAAGAGACTACATACTACTCGTGTGATTTTTCCTAGTTTATCCACACGGATCGTATAGCATACAAAATATTTGACATTTTTCCTTTGGGGGCTTAAATGTACATTGATTTTCAATTTTCAATTCGATTCTCATCAAAATCTTCACTCACTGTTCTGAGATATTACTTCTCCGAATTTGCGGAAGAGTTGGGCATCAGAGGTGCTGATGGATGGACAATTCACCAAGTGTGGAGTTTGAAGATTTGCATATTCATCCTTGTAGCATAGCATATTTGCAGAAGGCTGTGAATCAGGTAGCAGTGCTTGTGTTGGAACATTTTGTTTTGGTGGAGTTATGGATGTCACTAGACTTGCTAGCACACGTGTCACCTCATGCATAGTGGGCCTATCAACTCGTTGCTTCTTAGTGCATAAAAGAGCAAGCTGAAAAACCTTTTTCACTGCTCCCATGTCCTTGCATGTAGCAGTAATATCTGGATCAACGGTTTCCATTACGGCATCATTAGCTGTCTTGGACAAAATCTACGCAAATAAAGACTATTAGTTGTTAGTGTAAGAAAAACATTGAGAATGAATGAATGAGTTAGGTGTATATCATAAATTATTGACCAAGGTAACACAACACCAAAGGGTCAAATGAAAAAAGTGTAACTATCTCAACAAAGCTCAAGACGGGGACAAAAAAGATAAAAGACATTAAGTGTTTAAAATGAATAGAATAGTCACCAGATGATGAAGGTTTGATTCGTTGTCAACAGCTTTCTTCCCAGTTAGTAGCTCTAGCAATACGACACCGTAGCTATACACATCAGATTTCTCATTGAGCCGGGAAGTTCTGGCATACTCGGGGTCTATATAGCCAATTGTGCCCATTATGTTAGTTGAAGTGTGGGACTTAGAGGTGCTCAGACTTTTTGCAATGCCAAAATCGGTGAGATGGGGCTCAAAGTCTTTATCTAATAAAATGTTAGATGATTTCACATCCCTGTGAATGATTCGTGGACTGCAATCATGGTGTAGATAAGCCAGCCCTTGAGCTGATCCAAGTGCTATTTTTAGACGAAGATCCCAATCAAGCTTTTTCTTCTTGGTAGGTCCTGGAAATAAATGTACATAACCAAATCATTGCTGGGATTTAAAGTGTTTTTTTTTTTTTACATTTTGCTGATAGATTAATCTATTGTTAGGTTCATATACAGGCAAGTGCAGCTCCAGGTAAAAAGGCATTGATTTAGAAAGTAATAGATTCTTCTAACCATTTTTAAGAATGCTAGAGATACTCAATCTAGCATTCTTTTAAACACTTTCTTTATTATTGATAAAAATTTATTAAAAATCACAAATTTTGTGAATCTCGCATCTTATCTAATAAGTATTTCTCCGAATTCACGAAAATCTAAAATTTTCAATTAATAATAAAGAGAATATTAGCCAGAAAGTGTTAGAAAGAGTGTTAAGTGTTAAAGGGACATATGTAGAAAACTAGATGCAAGACACAACAAAAGAGCATATGGTCACCTCAATTAAAAAGACATAGATGCAACTAGAAAGTAGAAACCTCAATATGCACCTTAGAACGATTGCTCACATTACTAATACAGCACTAATTTGGAAGAGGAGAATATGGGAAATTGGAAAATATTGCTAAATGCAGGGTTGAATCTACATAGTAGATACAAGATATAGTTTGTACACCAAAGCATGCGGCATAGTACATCAGCAAAAGCTTGAACTTACCATGTAGAAGATCCCATAGACTGCCATTTTCCATGTAGTCATAAAAGAGAAGGTTCCCAAATGGAGACAACGAGTAGCCTTGGAGACTGACCAAATTCCTGTGCTTAATGCGGCCTACTGTCTCAAGCTCGGTCTCAAACTCTTTTAAAAAATATGAATAGTGGGAATAGAGTTTCTTGATAGCCACTGGCTTGCAATTCTTAAGAACACATTTATAAACTGTACTCGATGCACCATACCCAATTATATACTTCTCACTTAGGTTTTCAGTCATCCTCATGATATCATCATACACATGAAGCGCCATATTCATGTTAAGAATCACTAGCTTCGGAGGTGAGTAATTAACTGTCAATTCTCAAGCATGAACAATCAGTAGAATATCATCTTCATTTTCTATAGGCAGAGACAGTTGTGATAAAGTACCTGGTTTGTCAAAAGATCCATCAGGGAAAGGAGCTGGAGGATTGTGTGGTCGGAAAACTACTAGCAATATCATAAGAAAAATCCCGAGGGCTCCTAGAGCCATTCCTATAATAGCTGCCTTAGACAAGGTAACTGCAAGGTCAATATTCAATAAAACATATTAGCTCTTTCTGCATGTCAGCCCAAAAACCCTTATTTAGCTATATAAGGAAAGAATCTCATAGGAAGAACATCGCACCTACTGTAACATCCTCATTCCTCGACAATCATTTTGAATGATATACACAATCATAGAAAAATAAAAAGATACATATGAAACCTTGCTTTACACTTCAAATGCTCCTATTTAAACAAGTTCAACACTAAAAATTAATTGACACATATTGCATTCAGTCAAATGAATCCCATCTCAGAACTCCAACAATCCCTTACTGAACATATTCTCCCAGGCATAACAATCAAAGATAACAAGGAAAGATCTTTTCCGGGAAGAGCTAAAGATTTTCGGGTGCTTAAAGTATAAGATACAATAAGGCATAGATGGGAGGGAGCAACAGGATATTCCTGCTAGAAAGTTCAGCTGACCTCGCTCTTTACGGTGAGACCTATGACAATACAAACCCAGCCAATCATTACAAAGACCAGGGTTTCCAATGAAACTGCAAATAAAAGATAACAACAATAAATCAATCGATCCAAGAGGATATGCTGATGGAAAACAACATGAGTTGAAAAATAGAAGCAATTACGGCAAACCTGTCAGGAGAAAACCTGTAAAAAATGTTGCTTGTGGGAATAACACCAACTAAATTGTTATAAGAGACATTGCTGCAAAATTTAAAGCCCATAATTAACTTGTTAGGTAAAAGTCACTTGATCTTTCCAGAGAATTATTATACAAAATTGTTCAAAAATTAGAAACAAAAGAGACAAATCTTACAGCAGAGAAAGACTAAGGCAATTTACAAGCGAAGACAAATCCCCAGATAATTTGTTCTTTTCTAGTCTCCTGTAGAATTTTAAACCAAGTGATGCCATTAAAAATAGTAAGAATTGTAGTAAAATTCAGTATATCACGACTGTCAACCAAAATTTACAAAATAAGCACAGCATGGAACAAACTAATTCCGAGTCTAAATCAAGGGCAATTAAAGAGAACCTATATAGATGCTCAACGGAATCTGAGGAATACAAGATTTCGGAACAATAGTTTTTGAGCAATTCAAAAAAGAGTGTAAATTACAAAAAAATTAAAAATAAATAAATAAATAAAAACTATTATTAAAAATCAGTTAGTAGAATTTAAGGCAGTCAGTTCACTGTTAAAAGAGATTTGCCAAGTCTACAAAATACCATCAACTTCTATTAACAAAAGCATAAGGAATATAAAACAAACAAACACTGAATAAGGAAACGAAAAGGAGCTTACAAAGACATCATGTTCTGAAGCTGACTAAATTCTTTGGGAATCAAACCAGAGAGTTGATTATTTGAAAGATCACTGAAATATAGAATCATGAAAAGCGTCCGTGAAAAAACCAACAAATACAATAGCCTTACCTCACTAGTCACAAGATAAGGTCGGTTACGTGAATACACAAACATCATTTGGCTCGGTAAAACAAATTTGCAGGGATATTATATACCATGGTCAGTGGATGATAGTCAATAAGAAACAACTCAAGATTTGTTTTATTTTCATCAGAAATTTAATGGACTTACATATCCATGACGCTTCTAAGATTACCAAATTCTGCAGGAATAAGCCCTGTTAAATGATTTCTGCTCAGATTCCTAGCAAAATGATTACTAGCAATCAGTAAGAAGTAACATTCTAGATTTTTTTTTAAAAATAACTAGATAAAAAAAAAAAACTCACAACTTCAGAAGATGTTCCAAGTCACCAATGGAAGAAGGAATGGAACCAATTATATTATTATTTGATATATCCCTGGAAGGAAAATATCAATTAGAAAGACATCACAGGGATTGATATCAGGAGACATTAAATTATTCGTACTTACAGTGTATCCAAATTACCAAACCGTGAAAGTTCAATTGGAACGGAGCCTTCAAGATTGTTTGAAGAAAGGTTCCTAAGGACGGCAATCACCATATCATGAAGGAATAAGAATCAATTAAGCAAAATAGGTTAAACTTTGAACTGTTAAGTATTGGCCAAGCATGCTTGAGAACTAATCACAATAAAATTACGGATATGTTGAACAAATGTTCTATTAAGTCAAGGTGAAACTTACAGATAGGTCATACTCTCCAAGATCTGAAAAGCTGAGGGGACTGTTCCACTCAGCTTATTCCCATGCACATTGCTGAAACATGACAATAGGAAAATCCATCACCTTAATTTAATATAAAATTCTATCTTATGAAGTAACATACAAAGCTAATTGCTTACAGGCTGTTGAGGCTTTTACACAAGCTAAGATCGTCAGGAATAGGACCCTCAAGGTTATTGTTGGCAATGTTTCTGCAAGAACAATGTGTGACTCATAAAGTTACTTAAAAACTAACAAGCTCGATGCTTCAAATTAATGACACTTACAAGTCAAACAGAAGAGTAAGCTTTCCAAGCTCAGGTGGGATATGTCCACTTAAATGGTTATCATTCAATTCCCTGCAGGGGAAGGTGAATCATTAGAGGACAATTTTAAACCAAGTTGCACCTCTTGGTAGGCGCTCTTCGTAGCAAACAAAACCCTGCTTAGAAAAATTATAAAAAGGGCATGACAGAAGGTTCGTTCTGAAGTTGTAATATTCAAAGTGAAATGATTAGCTATTGTCAGGAAGCCGCTACTTCTGATTTCAAGAGTCCAGAAAAGAAATATAAGATGCATATGGTCACTGATTAAAAGACTAAAGCATCTTACAAATAGTGAAGCTTTGTCATATTTCCAAGCTCTGGGGGGATGGGGCCAGTCAGCTTGTTTCCATTCAAAAACCTTCAAACATTGCATATTTAATCAAATAAGTCTAAAAAATTTCTGATATAATACACACTTTAAGGCAAAATCAAACTTAAAGATATAAAAGAAACTACTAGCATATACTTACAATTTTTCTGTGAAGGTCAAATTTCCCAGTATAGGAGGGATAGGTCCACTTAACATGTTACAACTCAAATCTCTGTAGGAAATGTCGAAAGAAGAATTAATAAAGAAGAGAGAAAATATCAAGTCAACAAAGAAACTTCATAAAGTTTGCTTTAATACAATACTTACAAGACAGTGAGAGCTTGCATCAGACCAATCACTGGTGGAATATGCCCTGAGAGTTTATTGCCTTGCAATGACCTGCCAAGCTCAAACAAGTTTAAAGGGAACTTCCTATATAAGGAAAGTGGAAGACCACATATTATTCTAGTAAAAAATATCTGAGAAAGGATAATGCAATACATACAGTGTTGCTACTTGCAGAAACCCAATATTGTATGGTATCTCTCCGTTTAGCTTGTTGTGGGATAAATCCCTGAAATCAATAGAATATATTAAAACAGTAAAGAGAAGACATGTTGAGGCAAAATCTGTCACACATACAATTTGATATACTTACAAGACCCCGAAAGTGGTACAATTGCCTATGTTTTCGGGAATACTGCCTGTCAAGCTGTTGTTTCTCACATCACTACAAAATGGTAGGACAAAAATAATTACAGTCGCTTAGGAAATGTAAACTTCCATGACTTGAAATAAAAAGAGAGCCAATGCTGTAACTTACAAATACCACAATCCAGTTAACTGGCACATGTCTGGAGAAAGTGAACCCACCAAATTGTTATCTCGCAAGCCACTATGATAGCAAAATGAAAAAGACACAAAGAAAGATTGGCAGCAAGATCACATCAGATTCAGACTCTAAAGGGAGAGAAGTAATGAGTCAATTAAGCAATAGATTTCATGCATAATAGTTATACTCACAGATATTGCAAAACTTCATTCCAGTATATAAGCCTTGGTATCTCCCCACTAAGATTATTCTGCGCCAGGTCTCTAGAACAGAACCAGTTTAATAAAAAAAATTGTGAATGACAGCTACAGATACAATAATTATCCTTATGAAGAGAACAAGAAAACAGAAAAATAACTTACAGAGTCTTCAAGTTAGGAATCTGAGAGAGAGTTGAAGGAATTGGTCCAATAAGTTGATTATCTTTCAAAATTCTGAGAACACATTCAACAAAAACAAAGCCCCGTCATGACCGTACTTAACACATCCTAGGCAAAACAAAACCTCAAGTCCTCAACCACAAGAACTCACAGATTTTCCAGTTGTTTCATCTTCGAAAATGAAAACGGTATATCTCCCCGAATCTCATTAAACGACAAGTCTCTGTCAACACAGTAAAATTCAAAAGTCCCCCCTTAAGTCATTTTCACTTGTCAGTCAATTCAAATCAAAATTATCGATCGAATACAGCTCTTCAGGTACGAAACATACATGGTTTTCAAAGAGGAACAATCACCAAGCTCATCAGGTATCTGGCCAGACAATCGGTTTTCCTTGAAATCACTGTTCAAGCAACAAAGAGAAACAAAACAACATTAATTTACATAGCCACAAGAAGCATGAGAAATGCCGATGAAAGAGACTAAAAGTGAAAAATGCGAACTAGTAAGTACATAGAAAGCAAGCTGTTAAGACTCCCTATTGCAGGCGAAATCTCTCCCTCCATATTCAATCCCGAAAGATTCCTGCAAAAAAGAAAAAATGAAAATCCTTATGGTCACTGTGACTTGCATAATGCACATACACTACTCATGAGTGAAGAACAGTGTGTGTTAGTACTTACAATGCAACCACATTGAAAGTGAGATTATCACATGTAACCCCTCTCCACACACAATAATCGGAGGAAGCGGAGTGAGTCCAGTCAAAGAGAACGTTATCCACATCTCTAAACGACTTCTTTATCTCCAGCAACGTGGCTCCTTCAATTGAAACATTATCAAACAGAGTAACAAAGAAAAACACGGCGTTTGAGTTTGGTTAGAGTGAAGGACTGACCGTCGTGCGAAACCACGGAATTGATTGCATCCAGAGAGAGAAGAAGAAAAAGCGGAAGGAGAAAGGCCATGGCGATGGCGATGGCGCGTGGAAGAGAAATGTGATAAGGTTTGACAGAAGAAGCAGAGCTTAGTTTGTGCAATCACATCACATGAGGCTCTCTCTATAATGCAATGGTGAATTGCGAATGGTAACAGAGAGAGAGAGAGAGAGAGAGAGAGAGTGGAATAAAGTTAAAACTATCTGGCAGTGGCAGAGGGTCTGCAACACTGAAGCATAGTCTCTATCTATCTCCGAGTTTCTCTCTCTTAACTATTCGCTGCGGTAGCTGTATTCCTATTCACTATTCTCACTCACTTGTTACCTTACATTACAATGCTTTTAATTCAGATCGCATTCGCAAGGGGTCGCTTTCAGTTTCTCCTTCTTTGTGAGAGAGAGTTCAGAGCCATTTCAGACCAACTGACAAAGACACTCTCTTTTTCTTTCCTTCTTATTTATTTGGAGGTTGGAGCCTGGAGCCTGGAGGGAGCTACGTTTGCTACTTATTATGCCTATGGATCCCATCTTAAAATCTTCTTCACTCTAAATCTTTCTCACATTTTATAAACTTGGAATCAAATCAAAACTACTATAGTAACTTTTTAAAATGTTTCCCTCCTTGCAACCCCTATATCTTCTCCTAATGTAATTTCCCACTATCACATATATCCCACAATCTTTTTTTCTCTTGTTTTTTTACAATATCTTTTGCCATCAAGATTCATTAAATCAACGGTAATCCTAGTATTTTGGATGAAAAAAATATGGACATCGTCACATTTCATGTAATCAGGCTATCTAGCTATGAACTTAATTTGTGTGTGGATTCTTTTTGGTGCTAAGTAGAGAGAGATGCACAGAATAAGGTTGAGTATTAAATTCTCTCTTGTTGAAAAATGAGGTTGAGTGTTATAAAAAAAAAATATTGACCATTCAATCACTTTTTATGTATCTCTTTTATTGAAAAAATTTAGTTATTGAGAAATTACATATGTTTTTCTTTTTGGTGGTGAGAGAATAGACTTTGATTCCTTGTACTTTTGTATTTGGTACAGTACGAAAATTATAAAAAGACAAAAAAAATGTGAGATAAAAAAAAAAAACAGCCACGGATAAATCATAAAACTCGCATTAATTTTCTTACGACGCCCACAGTTTGTGATTTGTTTCCTATGCCACCAAGGAAAAATCTATAAATCATATCAACATCTCATAAAAAGTAATACTCTTATAATTTTTTACACTTTTAATTTACTTTATTACAAATTTTTATACCTTTTTCTTTTTCATTTATTAAATATTTATTATCTAGTTAAATTTATTTTTAAAGTAATTAGTTCAACTTTAATTAAATTATAGAAAAACAAATCCATTTAAGATTTTCTTACAATTTAAACTCAAAAAATGTATATGCAAATTACTTTTCTTGTTTTTACACATTAGTCTCTAAATTTAAATTTAATAAAAAAAATCATGAATAAAGTATAACATGCAGGATGAACATTTTGCGCCTAAACACGTTAATATATCAACTACTGTAAAAGTTGTATTTCATTATCATTTTTTTTTTGCGTCTTTTTTATATAATTCATTATTCATTGTTGTAATAGTTTATAAATTAATGAATATAATTTATTTTTTTATTTTTTTCACCCTATTAATTTATTGAATATTCTATACAAACAAATTTACACTTTTTGCCTAATTAATTTACATTTAGTTACATGATTAAGAAAAACTATACTCATGTATTTGTTATTATCTTTTCATGTAAAGTTAATATCTAAAATCAATTTTTAGACAAATCATTACAATTTATTATCTCCCCACTTAATTAAAATATTAAAAGAATAGTTGGAAAAATTTATTAATATAGAAATATAAATTTGATATACAATATAACCCATAGGGATGCATTTTTTACGGAAGCAAGTAGGAAAATTTATCCTTAACTCCTAGAAATAAATGATTTAACTGAAAGAATATTAATATTCTAAATTATTAGACTGAAATTAAATTATTTAAAAATTAAAAAAACACAAATATTATATATATATATATATTAAAGAAATTGTAGTTTTTTAACTAAAAAAACTCAATTAAAGGTAGTGAATTTAAAAATATAAAAAAAATTAAAGAGTAATTTTTTTTAACTTCCGTATAAGATATTCAATTACAAGTGTTCTTAAAATATTTTCATAAGATATAAATTAAATGAAAAATATATTTCATTACAAAAGTTCTTTTGAAAATATTTTCAGAAAATATAAGTTAGATAAATATAATTGAAACAATTGTGTATATGTTATAAGAGTTTAATTTATATATATTAACAACGTAAAATGTTTTAGAAAATACGGTTATTATAATTTTTAAAGTAATTTTCATAAAAATCAACAAACTCGTCTTATATAATAATTTATGATTAGATGATATAATAAAAAAATTATATTATAAATATATAAACTGTTTATTATAAAAAAAAATATAATTTGCACTTAAATCATATAAATAATATTGTGCAAGTATACAAATTAGTTTTTTTTATCAATATTAATTTACATAAGTGTAAAAAGTTATATCTCTTAATCAAAAAGTCTAAAATTAAATTTCAATTTTAAATATGAAATAAATTATATTAAAAAAATGTCTACTTTGTGATATTTCATATTAATATTATAATTAAAAAAGAAGTGTGATGTAACGTTTAATTAACAGAATAATAATCTTCTGTATTGTAGTAACTGATCATTGTGAAAGTTTCTATGAGTTGGGACCATATAAATTATGCTGTCACGACAGTGACAACCCCATCTTAATGCCTTGTTTGATATGCAAGAAATCTCATGAAAACGAAAATACGAGGCCTTGTTTGATCTCCAAAACTCTTGTGTCTTGTATAGGTCTTGTTTTTTTGTTCGGTACAAACCTAAGAGAATGAGAATCGAAAGTTGAAATGGCTTGTATACATTATTTTTTTTATCTGTTCTTTGGTCCGCGAGATTGTGAAGGAACGCGTATAGAAACTAGAAAAAATGATAAAGTTATCTTATAATTATTATTGCGACTATCGTAATGTTTCCTATTTTTATAAAAAAAAAAATAATACTTTTAAATTATTCTGAACCGAGTTCAAAATTAAACAATATTGATTGAAAATTAAACAATGTGGTTCTAAGATACTTAACTTAAGTTTACTATAAGCGACCTAGTTGCAGAGTAATTTTGATCAGTGTTGTAAAACTCGGCTCGACCCGGCCGGTCGAACCGGTCGAACCGGAAACCGGTGGTTAGACCGAGCCGAACTAGTCCTCAGATCGGATATGCATCTAACTCGGTATGACTCGGTTTGACCCGGTTAAAAACCCGGTTGAACCAGCGACTTGCGGGTCTCATGACCCAAAAAAATTAAACGACGTCGTTTTGTTAAATGCCTCTACTCGTTGCACGCATAAGCTTCTTCCTTCAGAAACCCTAAGGTTATTTTTTTCAGTGTGATTTTGAGAAACAAATCCTGCTCGTTGCATCGTTGCTTCTCTGCACGCACCACCGCACTGCCACAGCTGCATCGCTGCACCACGATAGTCGCACCACCGTCGCACTACCGCATCGCTACACTGCCACCTGTGAGGTCCGTGACCCCCTCCCCCTTTTTTTTTTCTCTCTCACTCACTCTTATTCTTCTTCCTTTCTCTAAATTCCTTGTGGTTGATTTTGTTTCCTTTAGCTGGAGCCGTGAGTGATCTTGGAGGTCCTTTCTCACAATCTTGAAGTGGAGCTAGCTGGGTGCTGAATTCTCTCCTTTCTCCTTCGTTCTTCGTCCTTTTCTTCCTAGAACTTGGAACCTTCGCACTGAGGTAAGGGAAGCTAGGTTTTGCTGGTTTGGGTTGAGAATGAGTTGAAAAACTCTTAAGTTGTTTGATTTTGGATGATTGACGAGCTGTTTTGATGAAATTTTTATTTTCGGGTTTTTGGGGTTTTGGGGTGAAATTTTGGGGTTTTGATGATTTTTGGTTGCATGTTGAAAAAAAAGGGGTTTTTGTGTTAATTGACGAAAATGTAGTTCTTTGGAGGGTTTGCATGTGTTTGGGCTGTTGGATTGTTGCAGGTTGTTGTTCAAAAATGGAGGAGGGATTGTTTGCTGTCACAAACGGCTGAGCCGTTTTGAACGGCTGAGCCCTTTGGGGGTTTCGTGGCAGGGGAGGGTTTCTGGAACCAAACGGCTGAGCCGTTTTAAGGCGCTGAGCGCTTTGGGGGCAGAGAGCCACCTGGAACCAAATAGTTGAGCCATTTTAAGGCGCTAGCGCCTTTGAGGCAGAGAGCAAGAGGAGAATCCCTGGAGGTAAAGCGTTGAGCGCTTTGTAGGCGCTGAGCGCCTTTGTGCTTTCAGAATTGGACTTTGTAGTCTTCATAAAAGTTGTAGCCTTGGATCTTAGCTTCCCAATGGCACTGGAATCACCCAAAAAAGAGTTTTAGAACTCCAGATATGACTGTTTAAGTGAAGAGGGGTCAAGCTGCCAGCTTTACTTATAGCTGTTGCGGTTTTCATCAGTTTTAACAAGGTATATGAAGGAATTAGGACTTGGTGTCTTCTTGAGAGTTGTAGGAAATCTTCTTATCTTTCATATGAGATAAGGATGAGTATGGTAGGAGTAGTATAACTCCTGATGCGCTGTTTTCTGAGAAGGTTGTCATTTTCACATTTAGTGAGTTGATATGTTGAGCTGTATCAGTTGTATGTTGTTGTGAGTTGATATGTTGAGTTGTATCAGTTGTATGTTGTTGTGAGTTGATATGTTGAGTTGTATCAGTTGTATGTTGTTGTGAGTTGATATGTTGAGTTGTATCAGTTGTATGTTGTTGTGAGTTGATATGTTGAGTTGTATCAGTTGTATGTTATTGTGAGTTGATATGTTGAGTTGTATCAGTTGTATACTGTTGTGAATTGATATGTTGAGCTATATCAGTTGTATGTTGTTGTGAATTGATATGTTGAGTTGTATCAGTTGTATACTGTTGTGAGTTGATATGTTGAGTTGTACAGTTGTGTTGTACTGTGTGTTGATATTGTGTGTTGTAGGCCGTAAGGCTGAGGTGTTGTAGGCCGAAAGGCTGAGGTGTTGTAGGCCGAAAGGCTGAGGTGATGTAGGCCGAAAGGCTGAGTTGTTGATCACTAAGACTAGAGGAGTTGTTTTCGAAATTCCTCATCCCATTGTGTGGATTGAGTGGTTGTGGTGCTCTTGGAGCCCAATTTGTTGAAAACCCTCCCTGGAAAGCTGACCCTTGGAGTGGTAACTTGCTGTTCTCCTCTAAGTCTTAGTGGTCCCGTGTGTGGGCAAGGTCGAGGCACACGTGTACAAAGCGACCACGGTATAGGGGCCAAGTCGACCTATACCGATTACAAGCGACCAATACTAACTTATATGCGTGACGACGCACTGTATGTTTTATTGTTGTTATGCTATATGCTGATGATGTGAGATGTG